CCCTCCATCTCACCTTCAATGTTCTCTTTCTCTCTGCCTCAACGCACTCTGTTTCCGCCTGTCTAGCTCTTTTTAAAACTGTGTTTTCTTGTCTTCTCTCTCGTTCTGTCGGTTTTTCTCTGTTGTCCTTAAACCTGTGTGTCCGTCTCTCCTCTAGCTCTGTCTGACTCCGTCCTTCACTGTTGGCTGACCTCAGTGCATTTGATGTCTTCCTGAACTCCAGGCAGTGCAGGAGGCAATGGAAACAAACAAACAAACAAACAAACAAACAAACAAACAAACCATGGTCCTTTGTCTCATGGAGTTTGTTTATGGTCTCATGGCTTTAATCGGTTTTGTCCCCACCCCCTGTGGAACCTGCATCAGTGCAGAGAGGGGTAGGGACTCAGCCACTTACATGCTCTTGGCAGTGGAGATGAGCCTGTCCTTGTATATGACCCCTAAGCATGTCTGTTAAGGAGCATTTACCCCCTTACCTCCGAGTGACCAGGTGAATGAGCTCACCTGTGCGCTGGTGATGGCCGGTCGAAGCTCCGCCCAGCCCATGCTCTTCCCTGCAAAGCCACAACCAGGAGGCATCTGGACTGCACTTTCAGAGATACACGCTGTTGACGCCGAGTGCTGTCCTGTTGGAAGTAACTTTCTTCAGTGTCACACAGGGAGGCATAAAGAACTGAGTTTTGAAACCATTTCCTACTTTGTGGATAATAAATTATGATCAGAATCCAAAAATAGCCACCAAGAGAGGGGCGTGGGGCTGATTTCAGTTACATAACACACACCGTGGGACTGATAGCCATGCTTTGAGTGAGTCGGAGCCGGGGTCCTTGCTTATCTCCGAGGGAAGTTGATGTGTGTCTCGCGGCCCTGGAAATCAGAAGTGCGGGTGTCTGGGGGGTCAGTAGGGCCAGAGCAGGACTCAGAGACTCACATCCTGTGCCAGCGCCTCAGGACTGGGATCCAGGACCCCACAGGCTGGGGCAGGGGCCAGAGTGGAACAGTCCCAAACTCCGCCTGGTCATGGCTGAGGGCTTTGGCGCTACTTGGTTATTGCCACTAAAACTAGCTTCATGCTTCTAACACTTTTTTTTTTTTTGCAGTTTTTAAAATCAAAGCCTCTACAAATCTATCGTTTATCCTTAAAGTTTCTAGTTAGGCAAAGAAATGGGTTGTTGGCTGCATTTCACAGGTGAGAAGCTCAGAGGAGGACGCGCACACAGCCGCCAAGGCTGGGAGGGGGCCTCGCTGTCTCACAGCTGATGGTCACGTCCTGGGGGTTTGTGAGCAGATGTGGTATTCCGGCCAAATTAGGGAATTCTGGTCAGCCTCGGCTCCCTCATCTGCAAAATGAGGATGAAAGTAGTCATCCTTCAATAGAGATGTTTGAGATTAAATGAGATATTAATAAGACCAGTTAATACTTATCAAGTAGTTGATGTCCGAGCACTGCTCTTTGGTGCTATTTTTGTTATTAGATGTTAATATACCTTATACTGTATATGATTATAAATATGCATGATTATTAACAGATAATACACGGAAACCCCTTAGCACAGCGCCTGGCACTCTTCTAAGTGTTTAGCAAAAGTTAGTTGCCATAAATTATGTTGGCTGGGCACTTACCACATCCTATATCTTTATGGATTTAGTCATTGATTTGTCTTTATTTTTGTTCTTTTGATTCTCCCTATTATTTTAAAATTTCCTATGAGCCCGAATAAATGCGTTTCCCAAATTCCTTCATCAGAATTCCCCAAATGTTAACATTTTCCTCTCTACACAAACACACATTAGTCCTATTTTTATGAAATGTTTGAGAGTGAGTTACACACATGGTGATCTTCTATCGGTAAATGCTTCAGTGAGAATTTCCTCAAAACGCTTGCCTAGGTAGAGTGAACTTATCAAAATCAGGAAATCAATATTGATAACAAAGAATTATCTCATCCCCAAACCTTATTCACATTTCATCTGTTGTCCCGCTAACAATCCAGAATTATGCATACATTTGTTTCGTCTCTTAATCATTTTAATCTGGGATTTTCTCAGCCTTGCTCTTTCGGACTGGGATGTATTTGAAATGTACAGGCCAGTTATTTTGAGGGTGCCCCGCCCATAATTTGGGGTTGTCTGATGTTTTCTCATTATTAGACTCACTTGTTTTGGGGGGAGGCCCTTCAAAAGTGATATTACATCCTTTTTCAGGATGTATGGTATCTATTTATTCTATTACTAGTGACATTATCTTTCATCACATGGATAACGTGATGTATGCTAGGTTTCGATACCGTAAAGTTACTGTTTTTCTCTTCGAAATTGATAAGTCTCTTGCACAGAGATACATTGACATTGTACAAATATCTTGTTTCTTATCATACATCTAGCCACTAGTAGCTTCTGTAATGATTATTGTCTGAAATAGTTATAGTAATAAGTGGCGGTTGCCAGATGGTGGTATGCTAATTTCATCATTCTCTTTTGCATTTATTCGTTTGAATTCTACCCAAAGGATGGTTTCCTTTCTCCCCTGTTAGCTTGTTTATGTCAGTGTGGACTCAGAGCTCATCATAGATGCCACATACGCAATATATATAGTAGATTCTGTGTGTGGTGCATGAGACTATCTACACTACCTACAGTAGATAAACTGTATGGATCAATGATTCCTTGTCTACATGTAATTATTTATAGGCTGTAAAATTGTCCGGGATCGGCCAGTGGAGGCTCCTGTGTCCTGATTGGCCAGTGGAGGCTCCTGTGTCCTGATTGGCCAGTGGAGGCTCCTGTGTCCTGATTGGCCAGTGGAGGCTCCTGTGTCCTCTGCACAGTTATCCCAGCACTATGTTACCTTCTGGCTTATGACACATTGTAGCTCCTTGTCTTGGCCTTCCTGTGCCTGGGCCCTAGAAACCGCCATTTCTCCAAGTAGCTCTGAGCCCTTTCCTTGGAGAATGCTATTTAGAGCGGAAACCTGGATCTAGCTGTGCTGATTGGGAAAGGTGTCATTGTTCGTGTTCAAGCCCTTTCAGCTGACAGAACAAGGGACCATGTTGTACATGCCCACATTTACACACTCACACTCACACACACATAATAAACACGTGTACGCTCACCCGCTCACCCTCTCCCGAGTCCCTGACGGTCCCTCCAATTCCGACTTATGGCTGTGGAATTCACACTCGCTTTCTGTTTTGAGGCTAACTTCTCTAGCAGTGAGAGAAGCCGGGTTCTCATTATTCAACGTATATTATTTGCTCAACCCTAAAATTCACTAAAGTATTTTTGGAATTGCTAACCCGTACTGCGGTGGAAAATAAACCTAAGTAAAATTCAATACGTGTTTCCAGATATTTTGATCTTTCACCCTGAGATATATAGTCAAAATAATAAGGGCCGGCCGAGTGGCTCAGTTGGTTAAGAGCTCGCTCAAGAGTTTGAGCTCTGAGCAACAGCGGTTCGAGTCCAGCCCGAGCTGAGCAGCCACTGNGGTGCCTGGTTCCCAGTTAAACGCCTGCCATGCAGCTCTTATGGGCAGAACATGTCAGCTTCATGTTCAAATTCACTGGGTTTCCCGAAGCACCTCACATCATTGAAGCACACGTCAGAAGTGAGCTGGTTCCCCTACCTGGGAGAATTCAGGCCGCTCTCACACCCTACAATCTCCCTCCTTCACAGCTTCATAGAGGCGTAACTGACACAGCGCATCGCACCTATTTAAAGTCGACAGGTTTGATGTACCAAGTGGTGCAACCCCAAAGTCAAGATAATAAACGTATCTTAAGTCCCAAACTTTCTTCACGCCCACTTGTAATCCCTCTCTCCTGTCCCTTGCCACTCACCCCCAGGCAAACGCTTATCTCTGTCCCTGAAGATCAATTTTCGTTTTCTGGAGTTTTATATAAATGGGATCATAGAAAGTGTGATTTTGTCTGGTTTCTTCCACCCAGCGTAATGAACTTGATAGACCAGTAGTTCATAGTTTGTATCGATGCGCCGTATTCCATTGTAGGGACAAGCCACAGTTTATCCATCAGTCGATGGACATTTGGGCTGCTCCTAATTTGGGGCTATTACAATTGTTGCTGGTTTGAACAGTTATATAGGTTTCTGCCTGGATATGGGCTTTCATTTTTCTAGGAGTAGAAAAGTGGACTCATATGGTACGTGTGTATTTATCTTTTTAAGAAACTGTTAAGCTGTTTTCTAAAGGGGCTGCACCATCTTATATTCATATTATATTATTTATGTTATGTTATATTAATTACATTACATTACATTGTATTTAAGAATGTATAGTGGACAGGTTTTGAGAGTCTAGTATCTTCATGTCCTATCAACTCTTGGTGTGATTTAATTTCAGCCATTGTATTAGGTATGTACAAGCATGCCATTTGGTTTTAACTCGCATTCCCCTACACATTAATGATTTGGAGCGTCTTTTCACAGGCTATTTCACATCTACACACCTTTGGTGAAGCAGCAGTGCAGATCTTTTGCCCATTTTAAAAATTTGGTTGTTTGCTTTTAGTTATTGAGTTTGAAGAGTTCTTCTGGTTACAAATCCTTTATCAGTGAAGTGATTGAAAAATACCTCCTTCCAGCCTGTGGTATGTCCTTTCATGACCTGGAGGGTCTTCTGAAGAGAAAAAGCNGTACTTGGGGGCTTGGGGGGTGGTGCTGGTCAGCTCAGGAGGACAGAGGGCCATATTCTGTGACCAGTCCTCTTATTTGTGCTGTTGTCTTTTTTAATTGGAAACTAAAATGAAGACTCTGTTCATCATGCTAATAAGCTCTGCAAAAAGGCAGCCGCCTACCCCATGGACCTTGAGCCAAGGCTGGGCAGCTATTGAAAGAGCGTGAGTGCTGGGTGTGAGGCGCGCCTGCAGGACAGGCAGTGTTTTCCGTTGCAGAAAAAGCACCGAGGCAACTTGGTCAGTCCCCCTGCCCACTGCTCCTGGGCTGAGCCTGCTTGCTGACATGCCCTCTTCTCCCCTGTGTAGGACACGGAGATTCTGAACACGGCCATTCTCACTGGAAAGGCTGTTTCGGTTCCTGTCAAGGTCGTGGGTGTCCAGGAGGATGGTTCTGTGGTGGACGTGTCGGAGTCGGTGGAGTGCAGGTCTGCGGATGAGGACGTCATTAAGGTACAGCATCCCCCAGGGGACCAGCCCTCTGGGGACCCGAAGGGCCTGGCTCTGACCGAGCCGCACCCCAGGCTCCGAGGGGCTGGGGTCAGGGTGACCACCCTGGGGAATGAGTGACTGACAACACGGACCCACCCGGGGGCAGGAGGAAACTGAGCAGGGGGTGCTGCTTCCTCCCCCTGGAATGGGGACCCCAGCCTTAACCTTGAGCAGAAATAATGTCCTTCCCTTCCTTTTTCTCACAGAACAATATTTCCCTATTTTCATCCATCTACATGCCATTTTCTCAATTGTTGCCAACTTCCAGTGCCAAGTAATATTATTTACTTGATGTTTTCTTTAAATGCCTCGCTTTTTCAAACTTAAACACTGTTTTATCCTCATTATGAGACAGCAGAATCCATGCGCTCCATGTCCTTTTTGTTGTTGTTAATATAGATGAAAATTAATGACTACTAAGTTTAAATATATGTGCATCCCTGTGCCAACTAACTTGAGTATTACCAGTGGGACACAGCTTACAGTTTGGGAAACCTGA